CCATATTTGTTTGGGATGATATTTATTGTAAAAATTATTGTTGTTAATGATATGAATAAATAAAATGAGATTTCTTTCATAGTAATGGTAAAAGGTGACATTTATATGAATTTGAGAGTTGTATTGCAGTTGCATCATACTCCCGTCAATTAGTGATGAATATTTCAACTAAATCAATATATGTATATCACGAGAATTATTTTAACCAGATCATGAATTCTTGTGTTAGCCTGCCAAACGTTCAGAAAAATTGACCCGTCGTACTATGTGAGAAAAAGCGCATCATCCAAATAAATGCTGTCATACTTTTGTTTATGTTATTTCTAAAATGTAACATTTTGTAATGAATAAATACAATAGCCTAACAAAAAACATATCGAGATATTTCTAAGTATATTAATTAATGTTATTTAATTTAAAAATATAATGAATAAATGTGTTTATATTATTGACAAATCAAGACTCTTTCTAGTACAATGACCACCAAAGAAAATCGAAATCAAGTCGAAAGTTAAAAATCTATTCCAATCACAAATTCTTGTGTCATGACTCTAGCCATTATGCGGGTATATACTTGAATCGTACGTAGTCCATTTTGCTTGATCAATAAAACATGTCTCAGTCGAGGAATGTGGACAAAATTCTTAATATTAATCTTAAGATTCTAATCAAAGTATAGATAAAACAAAAAGTAGCTTTAGAAACAGGATTATTGCTAAGAAATTCTGTCTTAAATTCTTGATCATTGCCTCATTGGCCAACAATATGGGCACAAATAGGGACATTTGTTATGTGCAGATTCTGTAGAGTTAACTCCAATTACTAATGCTACTGTCAAACCTAACGATTATATATATAGTCATAATTTTTCAATAAATTAAAATGCATACATTCAAATTAAAATATCATAGTTCATACTTTAACAAACAATATAAACAATAGTATGATATTTCATAATATTATAACAATATTATAAGTATACGTTTTCATTTAAAGAAAAGTACAACGAATCGACTCAACTAACACTTAGAAAGACTTGCACAAGAATTTGGAATGAATTAACGTTTATCTTGATCAATATTTGTGAGTTCTATGGAAGAAATTAGTTATTATTTTGATAAAATGACACAAAATTCTTCTTACCTAGTCGTAAAGATGATTTGTAAAGTTGAATTTAATTTTTTTTTTCCTCCGATTTTTGAGGTGAACGTCTCAAGTATATCAACTGTCCAAGTAAATTCAATTTGCATGGCCACATTTTCCTCTCCTCCATCTACTCTCAATAACTTGAAATTATGTGCTCCATTCACATTCTTATCATTCATATATTAACTATATGATTATGCTATTTTCAAACTATAGTATTTCCTTTTTTAGTAAGAGATATTTACAATGAAAACACTAAATATAAACTAGAGAACTCAATTCCTCATCCACCACATATATATAACACCCTCCCTTGAAGGATGTACTTAATATACTTTCATACATTTTATTTTTTATTATTTTTTCATTTAAATAAGGAAAGAAAACAATAAGAGCTTAGCTTTTTTAGGGAAAAAGGATAGGAATAATCCATCAAAGCTAAAAAAGATGGCAAAACAAACCATTGTTCTTCCTCTTATCGTTTTCTTCTTAGCGATTGTCTATGCCGCCCCATTCGCCACCGCCGCCAGGGCCTACGGCCCTACCGACAGTGGTGAATCCGAACCACCGATTGACAATTCAAGCAATGAATCTTTGGACTACTTGGAAATCCCTGACACTAGAGGCATAATTGGCCCGCTATCAGGTGGGCCTAGTCCTTACGCTGATATGTTGGGATCACCGGTTCCTTATGAATTCTACTCACCACCAGATCCTACCGAGCATGACCCGGTACCCACTGCTTATGAAGATTACGCATTTGTCCCGACTCCTGCTCCGGCTCCCGCTATCGGTGCCGATCAATACTGACAACGATCGACGAACTTGAAGCGGACAATACCATTTCTAGAGTAATGGGGTTGTTGGTTCTTTAATGTAATTTTTTTTTTTATTTTTTATTTTTTATTTTTTAATTTGCATCAATCAATCAATGTTAGATGGCTTGACAAGCTTATTGCCTAATTAATGATATGGGGAGAGATTCATCTTCATCTTCTTCTTCTTGTCTTTTTTGAGTTTTTCATACCATGTTAGGATAATATTGAAAATGATCATTTTCTTTTTCCCTTTTTTCATATTGCGAAAACTAGCTAGCAACTCACAAGCACATAGGTAGCATTTTGAAAGAATAAATTCGGTCTCTTTTTTTTTTGGGCTTTCCTAGTGTTATTGATATGGCTTATTAGCTTATTAAAATTTGGACATGTAATATGATAAGTGAGAGAAAATAGAGATGTTAAATGCAATGAGACGCTTGTGAACTTGATAACTTGGCTGAGCTTGGATTGTTAAGGTTCGAAAAAAAAAAATTATATAGTTTTCCATAGCTCATTAAAGCTCGGACGTTGCTCGTTAATATTGATAAACGAAGTGAGTTTGAACTTGATTACCTACTCATTATGTTAACGGATGTAGTCCAACTCGCTCGTTAAATGCTTGACAAACACAACTTGATTACCTGCTCATTATGTTAATGGGTATAGCTCAACTCGCTCGTTAAATGCTTGACAAACACAAAATTTGTCTTGAATCTACGAAGTTTTCCATCTATAATATACAATAATACCATTGCAAATTCAATTTTGTGAAGACCAAGATCTATGCCAAATCTTAAAATGTTATATTTATTATTTTAGTTGTAACTGTAAGGAAGTGTTATTCGATCGAGTTGAATCAAACTGAGCACTTCGTATTTCAGCTCATGTTTATATATTAAAAAAAGTCAAAGATTCAAACTTGAGTGACTCAATTAAACTCATAAAAGTTGCGTTCGAACCGTTCTACGAACATAAAATTGTGAACAAAATACAATCACTTACACAACTTGTTCATTCTTTAGGTAGCTATTCACGAACACAATCGTGATTTGAATTGGTGGGTATCTTTGTCTAGCCCTTGCCTCTTAGGGGGGCAAAGTGCAAATAGAGTTCATAAGAGGACTATAATATAAATAATTGTTTTATTAAAATGAGGGCCTTATTTATTTGTTATTAACGCACTTGCACCACTAGGGCACAGGTTTGTTCTCTCCAAGCTTCTCGAAAAACCTTCACTTCACTCTCTTTCTACCGCCCTCGACTCCGATTTCAAATTCGGATCTGCGAAAAGATCCGAACTCTCGTGCAGTGACCCGGAACAATGTCGCTGGCTTTCGACGAATATGGCCGGCCCTTCATTATACTGAAGGAGCAGGAGCAGAAATCGAGGCTGCGCGGCCTCGAAGCTCAGAAGGCGAATATCGCCGCCGGGAAAGCGGTGGCTCGGATTCTCCGGACCTCACTGGGACCCAAAGGCATGGACAAGATGCTTCAGAGCCCTGATGGAGACGTCACAATAAGTAAGATCTGCACTTTAATGTGTGTTTTTGTTCGGATTAGAGCTCAATACATTTTAATGAGGTTTTAAATATTTTGTCAGTTCTTATGGGGCTCCTTGTTTTTGAGGTTGGGCATTGATTGTGTAATTGTATAGGGCTACCTTTATATTAGCTGAAGGATATGGAGAAAAGGGGTATTGGTATTTTTGGACTGCTTATGGTGTTAAGCACAAAAAAATGTTTATATGGCTTGTCGGAGGCACCTTTGTGTACCGTGAAATTTTGAGGACATCAATTTGGTCACCCTCTTATAGTGAGCTTAATACTAATGACCTTGGATTTTGTGAGAAATGTGTAGTTTCTTACCATTAAAATGGAATTATATTACAGTATGTTTTACTTTTATATTATGGAAAGGCTATCTTATTTATGGTTGTATTACTGTCAGCAAATGATGGTGCAACAATCTTGGAGCAAATGGACGTTGACAATCAAATTGCGAAGCTCATGGTTGAATTGTCACGAAGTCAAGACTATGAAATTGGTGATGGAACAACTGGAGTCGTTGTTATGGCCGGTTCACTTCTGGAACAAGCTGAGAAGCTACTTGAACGTGGGATTCATCCTATCCGGATTGCAGAAGGTTATGAAGTTGCTTCAAGAATTGCTTTTGAACATTTGGAGCGCATAGCCCATAAATTCGAATTTGACTCTTCAAACATCGAGCCTCTGATTCAGACTTGTATGACCACTCTGTCCTCCAAGATGTGAGTATTGTTTCTTGTTTTGGACTATTGATCTTTCCTCCCGTGACTTTGTAGTCTTTTGTTTATACATTTTTTCATGAACTAATGATACTTAGCCATGCTGTGATGGATTTAATTATATCTGAATGAGTAGGGTGGGGATCTTTAGGGGTGTGTTCTTGTAATTGTAGTTGTATCATTCTTTTATGATTTTTTGTTTTTTTTGTTGCCCATTGGGGTTTGCAGTGTTAATAGATGCAAGCGCAGTTTGGCAGAGATTGCTGTTAAAGCTGTACTTGCTGTTGCAGATTTGGAGAGGAAGGATGTTAATCTGGATTTAATTAAAGTAGAGGGGAAAGTCGGAGGAAAGCTGGAGGATACTGAACTAATATATGGGATTGTTGTAGACAAGGACATGAGTCATCCTCAGATGCCAAAGCAAATCGAGGATGCAAAAATTGCCATCTTAACATGCCCTTTTGAGCCCCCAAAGCCAAAAACTAAACATAAGGTTGATATTGACACCGTGGAAAAATTCCAAACTTTACGTCAACAAGAGCAAAAGTACTTTGATGACATGGTTCAGAAGTGCAAGGTAATCTATTTTTAAATATTTGATGTTTGTTTTAGTGACGTGTTAAAACCTAAGCAACAGGAGGAAGCTCATACTATAGATTTCAAGAGGTACAGAAATAAGGTTAAAAAACATTGGTAATAAGATAGTCGTAGAAAATATACAATGGTTTTCATACTAGTTAGAGTCTTTATGCTTGCTAGGATGGAATATTTGGATTACATATTTTTCTGTACATATGTGTAATATATGTTTATGAAGTTAATGTTCCAAATAATACTGGATTATTACAGGATGTTGGGGCTACTTTGGTTATCTGCCAGTGGGGTTTTGATGATGAGGCGAACCATTTACTGATGAACAGAAACTTGCCTGCTGTGCGATGGGTTGGTGGAGTGGAGTTAGAGCTGATAGCAATTGCTACAGGTTCTTATCAGCCCTGCATCTGCATTTTCTGCTTTCTGCATTATATATGAAATCTTCTGTTACATCTATTTTATGTTTTTATTTATTCAACTTTTTCTCTCGTTGGTTCTTGAACCTTAATCCCTTTCTATACGGACTTCGATAATAGGTGGGAGAATTGTGCCGAGATTCCAGGAGTTGACCCCTGAGAAATTAGGCAAGGTACATAATTCAACCCATGATTGATCCACATACCTTTATTTTCATTTTTGCTTAATTATACTCATTTAGTCTATTAATGTTTGTCTAGGAAGATATCCTCATACGATTTTGCACTTGTTATTTTTTTTTAAAAAAATAATGAATTGTTTGCGCTAAAAATAGCTAACCTTTACTTATGCCACTTGCTAGGCTGGTTTGGTCAGAGAAAAAGCCTTTGGAACCACAAAAGATCGTATGATATATATTGAGCACTGTGCCAATTCAAGGGCTGTAACCATATTTATACGTGGAGGTTAGTCATGCATGCTTATCTCAATGCTTTAGTAGGGGCAAACTGTTTTGTAGTTTATTCAAGTTCAACATTTTTCACTTAGAAATTTGAGACTGTTCCTTTTGTTTTTAATTGAATTTCTTTAGGTAACAAGATGATGATAGAGGAAACTAAACGAAGCCTTCATGATGCCTTGTGTGTTGCTCGAAACCTTATTCGTAACAACTCCATTGTGTACGGTGGTGGGTCTGCTGAGATTTCTTGCTCAATTGCTGTGGAAGCAGCTGCTGATAAGTACCCTGGAGTCGAGCAGGTTAGAACAATCCCAACCTTTCTTTATACAAATATATGTATATATTTATCGCTAATCTTCACTTAGCTGAGAATTCATATGTTCCTGTTGGCAGTATGCAATTAGGTCATTTGCAGATGCATTAGATGCTATCCCGATGGCTCTGGCGGAAAACAGTGGACTCCAGCCTATAGAAACTCTATCTGCTGTCAAATCTCAGCAAATTAAGGTACATTTGTTTTGCTTTGTTTCTTATATTATTCTTCCATTTTTGCTCTAAGGGCCCAAGAGTTTGTTCTACTCCATACCTTCTCTAGAAACTCTCTTTCAACAGTTGAGAGTAAAATTAAACCAATAAATAAATAAGTAAATAAATAATTCTTGATGTGTAGCTTGATTAGAGAAAAATCCATGGACATTTCAAACTCATGAAAAAAAAATAAAAATTGCAGGAGAACAACAGCTACTGTGGTATTGATTGCAATGATGTCGGCACGAACGACATGCACGAGCAAAATGTATTCGAGACTTTGATAGGGAAACAACAGCAGCTTTTGCTCGCCACACAAGTCGTGAAGATGATTCTGAAGATTGATGATGTCATCTCGCCATCGGAGTATTGATGAGTTTTTGTTTGAACAATATTATTACTTTTCGTGTTTGGCAATAGTGTCTACAAACTGTAGTTTGTTCACTCGATCGACTTTTTATCATTTGAGCCTTTGGTGGTAAATTTTGGGCATCCATTGGTCATATGTTTATCTTTGAGAGATGCACTGTGTTTATGTGGTTGATGGATTGTTTTTGTTGTGGGACTTGAATTTGACTCTTTAAAGCTGTTGAATTTATCGTATCAGTTCCGTTGTTTCAATTTTTATTTATTTTCTGGAAAACACAGGTAGTGAGGTATGTTTGCTAGTATAAAGCAGGACAGTTCCGTTGTTTCAATTTTTATTTTATTTTTTGGAAAACACAGGTAGTGAGGTATGTTTGCTAGTATAAAGCAGGACACGAAAACGCTAACTAAACACGAACACGATAGAATGATCTGCTAAACACGAACACAATAGAATGATTTACTAACCCAGCACATTGCTCGTATTGTATTTTAATGCGTTGGTACGAACTTACGGTACAATACATATGCAATCAAACCCCACAAACACAGATTATGTAA